GTAGTGCCTAAGGCACTTGACTGCTAACCAGAAGGCTGGTTGTTCAAACCCACCAGCCACTCCTCGGAAGGAAGATGGGGCAATCTACTTCCGTAGTGATACTGCCTCGGAAACCCAAGGAGGGGGTCGCTGTGAGTCGAGTCTGACTCGACGGCACATAACAACAACAACAACAACAACAAAGGCATCACTCACTCAATCAACTGGAGGGTGTGCAAGAAGCCTTGCCTAAAGCTAATCTACAGAATGTTTAAAGAAAACATAAAGGGAACCACTTTGACTTTGTAAAATCTGTCATCCAGAGGAGGAGACATGACCTGTGGCCCCCAGCCCTCTAGGGGGCAAGAAGGATGATAAAATCACACAGCCGTGCAGACACGGCCCAACCCCACGGGATGACCTACAGATGGCACAGTACTCAGGCCAGTCCTTCCCTAAACCTGAGGTCCTCAGTCTTCGGGTGCAGAGGAGTCCCTTGGAGGGCCTGTGAAAGCGCAGAGGGCCGGGACCTACCGGGGGGTCTGATCCAGCAGGCCCTCCAATGGGCCTGGGAAGGTGCATTTCCAGCAAGCCCCTGGGGGATGAGGCTGCTGGCCTGGAGGACACAACCTGAGAACCTGCTACTCTGGACCAGGGCTTCCTTTTCCCTTCCTTCCTTCAGGCTCTCTACGGAAAAAAACACACTGTGCAAGTGAAACTTTTTAAAATTAAATTTGTTGAACTGAAGCCTACTACTTCTATGCCTCATTTAATATCAGTTGGTAAGCCTACTGTAACGGACCTGCTCAAAAAAGGAGGAAGACAAGACTCATGTAAACAGCCTGTAAGTTGAGGAGAAAGTGCTCAACCCGGCGATGGTTCGGGAGCCTTCACGCCACAAAAATGCCAGCAGCTGACACACACAGTCGGGGACAGCAGTCAGGAGGTGCGTCTTGTTCTCTACCACACGTCAGAGCCTGCACCAGCCTTCTCATGGGAGGAATGAGATGTGACTGTCATCCTGGAATCCTGGTTAAGTCATGAATGTTAGAAGGTTTCTTATATAGTAAGTTCCCATTTATGTCACGTATAATACATCCCTCAGCACGTCTGTCTTTGCAGAGAGAGCCGTCTTTAAGTAAGCTCATTAGCATGGCAGCCACGGCTCACTGAAGACCGACTGTGGTCCTGCCAGAGTGTGTGTGCTGGAGGAAGGGGTGGCTGCAGTCAGTTTGGCAACATTTTCTTGATGCCTATTTTTGTGTTTGTTTTTTTTTTTCAACGAGATTGTATCAAGTTGCCAAAAAGGCAGTAAAATTTATTCTTGAAAGAAAAAAAAAAATGAGAAGACTGCAAAAAAAGACTGCATTAAAAACTGAGGAATGGCCAAATTTAAACAAGCTAACAACGGTACAACTGAAAAATTACCAACAGCTGGTAAGAGGGTGTGCTTGAGTAAGCTGGGTATTTCTGAGCTAAATACAAACCTTTTCACTGGGCAATGCTGCCTCCTGGTTGATCAACAAAGCCTTGGAAGAGTTCTTTTTGTCAGAAGAGGAGTCTGTCTCTATGAACTTCTCCTCTTCTCTCAAGGTAGAACTTGAAGAACCCAAGCACGAGGAATGATGGACGACGGTGACAAAGGGCTCACTATCAACACAAAGCCGAACACCAGCAGACGTCTTAAAGCAACTCAAACACAGGTCACCACTTAAGATCATCTCAATAGGACAAAAATAATACATTTCTGAGTTAAATACAAGTAAAACATTACAAATGAACACATACTCTTTGTGGGAAACATAACCACAGAATGCAGGCAATTTCCTCCCCCCAACACCAAAACAATAATAATAATAAAAAAAAAAACAGCAACAACAACAAAAACCATCAAGGTTCAAGGGACAGGACTGCCCAAAAAGAACAAAATGAACACAGTGTAGGGTTATGGGGTTAACCTCACCATGGACTTTCAGGTTTTCTGTTTATAGGACTGATGATTGTCAATGGTTTTAAAAAGCCGCTTCATTAAATAAGACCGGCTGGGGTAGCCTTTTCATTCTTGGGCACTCGGTATCAGGGAACCCACGGTTGGCTTGGTAAAGCCTGGGCTTCCCGCAGAGTCTGGTAGCAAAGCTGCTGTGGAGCAGGCTGGAGGCACCATCACCTGTCACCCACCCCGCCGCCGGGTACCAGTAACAAGGGGAAGCGGGCGGCCCGCAGCTGCCCCCCCCCCAACCTCTGCTGGTGGAACGGAATGGTGCTGGGAATGTGCATATTCGGGTCAGATAATGAAGTCGGTAAACAAGTTCTTATAATCTAAGGGGAAATAGGAAAACACAATTATCTTTTCTTCTCAGTCACGTGTTTGTCATGTGATATCACGGCATGTGCCCCTGCTGGCTGGACAGGCATCCACTTCCTGGGCTTCAAGTCAGGGAGGTCCAAAGGGCCTTGCAAGAAAACTCTGGCTTTAACTTTGAATTCCTTTCTCATGTTAAATTTAATATATGCCAACAGTACTCTTAAAGCAACCTGCCACCAGCTTCTCCTTCGTGGGTTGAGTGTTCTCAGTGAGTCCTGAACACCAGGCCACTAGCAACTATCTAAACCAGCTCCTTAAACCCTAGCATGGATAAAGGTCGTGTAGTGTCAACACCAACTGTTTCTTTCATTTTGCAACTGGCAGGATAAACACCTACATGATTTGTAAACGACTCGAGGTTCTAAAAGGGCCAAATAACAACCCACATAATATAAATACCAGTAAGAAATTTTAAGTCCTATGCAAGTCAGCGCAATGATTAAAATAAGGCTCTCAGAAATGTCATCCTTTCTCTAATTTAAGATTGAGGAGCGAGGCTTTATTTAAAAATAGCAGACATTATTATAGCACTGCTCAACCACAAGATTCGGCAATTCTAACAAGAGGAGGAGCCTGAAGGATGCAGCATGTGCTAATAACAAGTGCATTTTCTTCTCTAAAAAAACCAAGTAACTTTCACCAGCTTGTTAAATACAAATATTCTTTCTATTGTGTGATCTTTAAAAAAAAAGAGAGAAAGTTTAGAAGACAAAAAGTAGAAAACAAATATGAACTGAACCCAAAGGTGGCAGCAGTCTAGCTGTAAAAACACCAAATGCCAGCCCGGAAGTGCGGGGGTGGCATGAAGAGAAATCTTTCTACAAGGTCTAGGGAATGCGACGCAGACAGGAAAGAGTCAGCTGCCCACCCCACCCAGATCCCAGGTGGAGGAATGTTCCACAGCAGCATTCCACTGTGAACACCGACCCACCCATTTGTTGTTTAATCAAACATATTTGCCAAACTCATCTAAGAACCAGTCTTGTGTTTGAGAGAGACCTTTGCCTCAGAAGCCGCCTAGGCACCAATTTCTAACTGGAGTCGAATGAAAGTCCCTTTGTCCAAACAGACTCAAGTGTCTGCTGGAAGGTAGGGCTGACTTACTTTTCTTAGAGAAGAACGTGTTCCTGGTTGCTTAGTTGGCACTCAGTCAACATAACAACGGGCACCAGGGGTGCCTGCAGCCCTGCCCTTTCTGATACCGTGTGCACTCTCCCAGGGTCTGCCGATGGACACCGTGACTCACCTGGCTGAGGAGTTATACTTCGCTCCACTGACACGCTCAGAGCAGATGCACATGGACTTGTGCCGCACGATTCGCTCCACTTTACACGGCTTGAAGAGGCTCATCCACTGAACGTCAGACATGGTGCCTGGGGCTTCAACTACAAAGTTACTCGGGTGGCAGCACTTCGCGTCACAGATGTCACCTTCGCTCAGACAGGCCTCGTTGTTCTGGCAACAGGAGACCTCAGACCTGCCCCTCTGATCCTGACATTCAACATGCTTTTCAGCTGGTCTGGAGCCAGAGCAGGGGGCCAGGCCCAGGTAAACACTGAAGTCATGCCACTGCTTCCCATCAGATAGCGACGACTCAGACAGCTGTTTCTCTCGGTGTGGAAGGCCAATTTCAACCTCTTTCGGTGATTTTGCATGGATCTTGCACAAGGTGCTTTTGTTTTCAGGTTCAGTCTGTATTTTTCCTCCCAGAGACCAAGACTTTTGTTTCTCCACTGAGTCTTTTGTAAACAGAGATGGGAGAGTCATTATACATTTTTCCCCAAATGTGGTATTAACCTGTAGTTTCTTCTCTTTGCACACCTCGTAAGAGCTCTTGTCTGACCTATTTTGCTGAACCAACATGGTCTCAGATATCTGGTCCTTAACCAGTAACTTCTGATCTTTCTCCCTCTTAACATCGGCTTTTGGGTGGCTATTTTCAAGGTCTGATAAACACATGTCTCCGCTATGATGGCATTACAAAAAACAGAAGTTAAAAGATGGATTCAACTCTATCATCATTCTAAATACGTCACCCAAACCTCATTAAGTAGAGCTAAATTCTAGTAAGACTCATTTGTCTTAAGTGAAACACAAGGTTCCTCCTCCAGGAAGCCTCTCTAACCAGCGAGTCCACATTCATGCCCCCTTCTCGTCTTTGACTCCTCATGGACCACATCATGCAGTCGTCTTACTGTGTGTCCCATCTAACTGGTTATACAGCAAACGTCCCGTTATAACTACCTTACTCACTAATTGTTTCAAACATCCATCCTGCCTTCAAAACAGATTATTTCTTATGGGTAGAAGCCTTTTTTTTTTTTTTTAAATTCCTTTGACACCTAGGACAGCCTGTAATATGCATTAACTGTTCCATAAATACCTGTTGGTTGATTGATCTGACACTTTCTTTCCTAATTCCACTGCTTTCACAATAAGCAAGAGTTCACCAGGATTAGAAGGTGATACTGATTCAGAGTCCCAAGATAAACCGCTAAGCGCTAACCATGTAAACTGTACCATACTCATGACAAGACCAGCTACAAAATCTGCCGGACAACTTATGTAATATATACTCAGAGTGGATCTAAAATAAAAATAACACATATGCATAAATTCAGAACTATGAGCCTAAATGTGATAAATAAAACATAAATGTGATACCCCTTTTAATAACTCTTCCTCTAAGGCCTCATGTCACACATGTTCAGCTGTTCCAATCTGAAGAACGCCGACCCCTAGGAAAACCCAACCCTGTCCTTCTCTAACAGCAGGAGACATGTTATGTACTTAAAGGATGACCTAACTCATCTATCCCAGCGGCGAGGAGTCAAAAAGGAAAGAGCTGATCAATGAAGGGCAACAGCCAGCAAGAGGACTGAGCCGGTCTGCTATCCGCAGGCAGCTGCAGTGGCCGGGAAGCAGGGCCCAGTGTGACACCCTCGGCCGACTGCTCTCAGGGCACAGGTGCAGCGTCCTCCCCACTCACCTGCCTGTGGCAGCCACCGCTGCTTCCGACCCTCCCGCCCCCATGACTACTGATGTCCACGGACTCTGAATGCCATTCTCCCGGGGAAAAGCACTGCCGCCAGCCAGGCCCAGCCCCTGCGGGTGAGTCACGGCAAGAGTCCCTAATCCCGTGCCTTGTGTTCCTGTGCTTGGAAAAGCAAACGATGTTTATTTCACCATGCTACAGTTACATGCCTGCTGAATTAAACCACACCTCTTCTATGTCGTTGCTCAGTCCCCATCCTTTGACTCTGACTGCAGTCACTGACACTACTCTGGCACTTTCTTATGGGTACACTCCAATGCTACAAATCTTTACAATCCCTACATCTAACCAAGCACCCCAAAGCTTCTGAGAGTACTCAGTGAACATCTGCTGAGTGAACCATTTATCTGCAGTTTCCATACCAGCTCAAAGCCTTCTATCCAACAGACACACAAGTAATGTCTAACGAGTTTACTCTGACCAAGTGACCGAATTAGGAGAAAGCCCCAGTTCTCAGATCAGGCCTCATTTCAACCAAGGATTATCACGATCCTTCTTAGCTGACTCTACCCAGTCCCTACTGCACAGGGAGCAGAAGCCGGTACTGGCCCATCGTAAATCCTCCATAAATACTGACTGAATGAGGGACTGAAACACAATACGATATTAATAGCATCTTACCTAGACTCGAGGCCCTTTGGTTCCTCCATCTTTGAGTCATACAGCTGTACCAATTCCTGAGAATTTTCCACATTAAAGTGAAGAAACTGCAGGTCATGCTGTTGCTTGACGTAAATCTGCCCTCAGACAGTGATCAATCAGCATAAAACATAAGAAGAAAACAAAACAGAGCCAACAATGTGGCACTTTCAAACCCTAACATGGTGACAAGAGAAATACGGTAAGCACACCTATTTTTATCTGTCCTATGCGAGCACTAAGATCCCCCAGGACAACCAGTCTCCTAACCTTTGGTTACTAGGACCAAGACCTTATTCGCAGATGGTAAGCATGACACACGTCCTCCCAAAGGTCCATAAAAACTCCAGAGGCATCAATTTTCCTGAGTGAATGTGTTTGTACTTCCTGCCTCCGGCTGGAGCAGCACACTCAGGACCTGCCTGTCCCAGGCTGTTTTCCCAAGTGAGCGTGGGTTTGTACTCCCGCCGCCCACTGGAGCAGCACTTGGGCTTACCTGTCTCAGGTTGTACAGTTCCGTGTTTGTCCGTTCCTGCTTTGACTTTGCAATGTCAAGTAAGTCATCTTTCCTCTTCTCTCTTTCTACTGTTTAATAAATCATTAAAACATTTTTTAATCAGCCATATTATGAACACACATCTCTCCATGCCCAGCAACTTAATGCTCAGCTAACGTTTGTTTCCCTCATTCCTGAGTTAAAAACTGTGATGGGCTGGCTTGGAAGAGCTCACTCGCATCTCTCTGTCTCACTGGATTCTCCATCAAACGGGAAAACTCATGATATAATTAATGCTAAGTTAGAAAAAGATTCCAAATTCTGTCAACTATATGACCCAGTATGTGTGTGTTTGTACAGAAAAAAAGTCTAAGAGCAAGTGTACAAGGCACAAGAGAAGGCACTTAGTTATCTCTGGATGGGAGCATTACCGACCACTCCTCTTCCTCTTTCTTTCAGGGGGTGGGGAGAGCAGGGATTTCCAAATCTCTGTAATTAATGTATATTTATTTTCACATTATATAGGTAACTTACAAATGCATTTTTGTTGCCACAAAAATTGTTCTATTGATACAATTTATACTGTATTGATATAGTTCTACTGACTGTATTACCTTTGATAGAAAAAAAAACTGACCACTCTCGGTCCCTACTACTCTGACCATTATGCAACTCTGGCCTGCATTCTCACGGGCCAGGGCCACAAGATGCCCGCAGGGAGGCAGACTTTACTGCCATTTTCATAAAGGCCCAGCACTCCCTTCAAGACTTTCTACTTCATCCTTTAGAATTTTCTCTCATGAATTCTTAAAATTACTTTTATTGTTGTTGTTGAGAACGAACAGAGAGGAACACATATCAACGCAACATGGACAAACTGGTGACCCCGACTGCAACCATCCTCTCCCTCCTTTTCCAAGTTGTTCCTCCCCCAGTAACATACATCCACTGCCCCTTAAGTCTCCTACCTAACCTTTCGAGTTCCTGTTGTCAGTTTCACCCTGTATAATATAGTGCTTTTAAGCAAATAATGTGCACGTTATACTTCTTTTTGCCAACCTCACCATCTCCCCACGTGGTATTTTCCTAGTGTGCTATGCTAAATGTATTTTCTATATACTGCTATTTCAAAAATTAGCATTGCACACTTACAATGCTAGGGGGAGGGTGTGGTTGGCCAAAAAATGAGTAATACGTCAAAATACGGTAAAAAGATCCTAGAAAAAGAAAATGCCCAAGGTAGGCTTTTTTTTTTTTCTTCGCAAGGCAGACATCCTTCACTATCTAAGCTAACCTACTGTTGGGTTTTAAGAAGATGTCAAAGAATATTTTTGGTTTAAGGTTTAAAGATGATCTCAGGGCAATAGTTTCAGGGGCTCATCCAGCCTCCAGAAAACTGAACCCTGGGGCTGGGGAAAGGCAAATCAATGTCATGGGGAAAAAAAAAAAAAAAAAAGGTTCAGAACTCAGTAAATGAGGACCCACAGGAAGGAAAGGGCTTGTATCAGGAACAAACATTAATATTATGCTTAAAGAGAAATTATCTGGTTCATACAGAACCAAGAAATTAACAATAAATGCTTCACTTTTTTGAAAAATCAATCCCTTTCTTAGAAGTTCAAACTAAATGACCCCTGAACTATACACAAACTGGTTTTAAGTAATTCTGATGCAATGTAAAGAGAAGTTTACAATTTCTATCTATGGTTTTTTTATAAGATGCCTGTTTCACAGGCCAGCTTTCTCATGGAGGAAGCAAAATAAAAGTATTTACCACTGCCGTACATTTGGAACCTCACCCAACATTCAAGGGCCGAAGTCTGTGCTTTGCTGTATGTGGACAGCTATCCGGCAAGTTCTGCTGTGGGTCACAGGGGCCCTGGCACAGTGACAGGGTGAAGACAAATGGAGCAAAGCCACCCTCATCTGAAACACTCAAAGTGCAGGTCCTTCCACTGTGCATTGCTGGTACCCACACTAGTCAAGACAATCTTTGTCCACAAACTATGGAGCCTGGACAAGCACAGTGAGAGCCACGGTGCTAGGCATGAACTACTTCTTTCTTCCTAGTCAACTCTAAATTGACTTCTTTGCATTAAACAACTCAGCACCCAAACCAAAACATACATGGTAGACGTGCCTCATTTAAACAGACATGCCTTGTTTATGTGGAGTTGCATTCATTTTACATGCATTCAACTATATGCACAAAAGAAAATAAATAAATAAAAAGGAAACCCAATTGCTTTAATAGTGGGAGTGAACCTCTCAGTGCACGTGCCCAGCAGTGACATGTAGAGAATCTCAGGCTCCCTCCAAGGGTCTCCACTCCACTCACCTTTCGTATTAATGAAGGAGCCCTGGTGGCACAGTGGGTAAGTGTTCCACTGCTAAGCAAAAGGTCAGCAGTTCAAACTTACCAGCCAATCTTCGGGAGAAAGATCTGGTGATTTGATTCTATGAAGACTGACAGCCTTGGAAACCCTCTGGGGCAATTCTACTCTGTCCTCTAGGGGCGCTGTGAGTCAGGATCAACTTGACAGTGGGGTGTCAGATTAACACCATCCTGACATGCTGAGTGGACTCCTAGTGTTTAAAGACACTTGCTTTGGGTATCACACGTCCCCTAACTACTTTCGTGCTCAAGGGTAATTTTAACTACATTTGAGTGTCGTTTTTATCTCTGACTTTAGAATAATCTTGTTTCTTAAGAGGCAACTGTACCACTGAGACTGTGGCCCTTAGCTGCCCTTCAGGTCTGGAATTGAACCCACACCTGTGGCTTCCAGCCAAGCAGAAGACAGGCATATGAGTTGAACATTTACCTGAGGTAGATACACTCCTTGGAGAGAACAATCATGCGAGAAAAAAGGGCTGCTTATGCACAGGCAGACAAATCAGGGGGCAGGGGGCACGGAGGGATAGACATAGGGAAGAGGTAACTATCGGGAGGAAGTGGGAGGGGAGCTGTTGCTCTGTGGGAAATTGTAGTCAATGTCATGAGACAAGTGTATGTGAACTGCTGTATGGAAAGTGAATCTGCTCTGTAAACTTTCATCCAAATCACAATTTAAAAAAAAGAGGCAACTGTACTGTAAACACAAATGTGTCTCTGGTTCAGAGTCCGAGGCTGGGTTCAGCAAATGGGGTCACAGGGCCTGTCTTCTTAAGAGGAAAACATCAAGAGCCAGGCACTCTCAGCTGCGTCCGGTCAGGGCAGCAGCCAGAGAAGATGCGCAAGGGACCCTGCCCAACACTGGCCAAGGGACACCACCTCTCATTAACTGGGGACCTCAGGCACTGAGCTCAGTCCCCGGGAGGCTCCATTTACAGGACTATAAGGATCCCCAGGTATTGTAAACAGTCAAGGAAAGGTTTACATATGGAAAGAAACTTTCTCTGTTGGCTACCAGGATTGGGAGGGGAGGGGAGGGAATACTGCAAAGATTAAAAATAAAAATAAAAAATCAAAGGATCTACAGGGGTTACCATGAGTCAGAACCGATCCAACTGCAACTGGCTTGGTTTTCCTTTTTAAGGACCCATGGTATGTAAAACTGTTACCATCTTATTTGCAAACCCCTGATCCACAGGGCAGACAAACAAATGAAACTTCTCTAAGCCTACAGGGAGCTCTGGTGGCTAAGCCTATGTGAAGAACTTCACCTTCAACAAAAGAAAAACAAGCTTTCAATTTCAAAGAAAGGTAAACACTGAAGACCTCTTCCAGTTTCAAATGAAATGTGTTAACTTTGAGCCATAGCATCTGACATCATATTATCAACATTAAGCCTTTTAATATTCTTTTTAGGCTTAATTCACTTCTGTGATTTAAACATATAAACCCTGTTTTAAGACAACAGTTTAAGATTATCTTCAGTAGAAAACATGTTCAAGAAATTAGCTTAGGAAATGGTTTAAAAAAAATCCACTGTATAAAATGGACTTGATACAGTATTCCTTTACAAATGCCATGTAACCCACCTAGGTGATAGCTAGTAGGATGCAGACTATAACATGATGGCTCACCAGGCAAGGAGACTGTTACAAATGATGCTGTAAACTTCCACCATTCCTCCCTCTGGCCTCCCAGAGCATCTGCACAGTATGAAATTATCTATAAGGACCCCTGGTGCTATAATGGTTAAGCAGTTCACTGCTAACCAAAAGGTCAGTGGTTCAAACCTACCCAACGCTTGTCGGGAAGAAAACTTGGCAATCAGCTCCCATAAAGACAACAGCCAAGAAACCCCTGGGGGGACAGTTCTACTGTCACCTGGAGTAGCTATGAGTCAAAATCAACTTGACGGCACACAACAACAAAAATCTCTGCGGGTCTATGCGCATCCCAGCCACTAGCAGAGTGCCCGGAACATACATGTGGATCCAAAGATCGGGGACTCTAACTGTAAAATTAAAAATATGGTAGATTCTTGGCAATGTAAGTAGCATGACTTTGAGACACAGTAAAACCCAGACACGAAAGAAACAGTGACCTCTAGTGGTAGAAAACCATACTCTCGCCAAATCCTCAGTCACTTTCAGATTAAAATTTAGGAAACCCACTTATTTGAAATTTTCTTTTCTTTTTTTTTTTTTTCATGTACTGGAATATATTCTCTTCCTTGAAGGCGAAGATTTGAAGGTAGATGTAAGTAGACCAAGAAAAAAATGTTAATTTTCCGGGTGTAACTTTTACCTCTATGGAAAGACACACTATAGCAATGAAAGGTCAATAAAATCCTCGTGGCTGGAAACATTGTTAGTTTACGATCGTGCTGACATTCAACTATATGCACAAAAGAAAATAAAAATAAAAAGTGCTATTTTTCCAACTTCAATAATCTATTTACAAAAACTGGAAATATACTTTTTGCAAAAAACAAAAAAAGAAAAAGAGCCTTGGTGGTGCAGTGGTTAAAGTGTTCAGCTGTTAACAAAAGAGTAAGTGATGTCAACCCACCAGCCACTGTGCAGAAGAAACATGCAGCAGGCTGCTTCCTAAAATCACAGCCTTGGAAACTCTACAAGGCAGTTCTATTCTGTCCTGTGGAGTCACTATGAGTTGGAATTGACCTCATGGCAAAGAGTTTGGTTTATCTGCAAAATTAAATTGGGAAGATTTGGCAATCTGCTCCAGCCAAGATTACAGCCCAAAACCACACGGTTTTCCTGAAGCCCTGAATTTCTGCCATCAGCATTATGTTTCCAGAGAGGTGCCATCACACACTCATGCTGCAAAGGCCATGGCACGTCACCTTACAGATAAGGATGGGAGGACTGGTCCCAAACCAAACCCACTGTCACCACGTCAATTCCGATCCTGTGAAAGCAGCTTGTCACATCTTTCTCCCACGGAGCAGCTGCTGGGTTCAAACCATCGGCCCTTCAGTTAGTAGCCAAGCACTTAACTCCTCCTGTGCCACCAGGGCTCCCTCTTAGGGTGGCATGGTAACAGCTTACAATGCCCTGCCTGTCCCTCCCCATCCTTCCAAGGGTGTTAAATAAAAACAAAATCCCAAAAACTCTATTCCTCTAGTCTGTTACAGTGGCACCTTACAAAGTACCAACATGTCACTACTTAATCACTTAAATGAGATCTCCATTTACCAGCGGGAGCTCTGGTAGACTAGTGCCTAAGGCATCTGACTGCTAACCAGAAGGCTGGCAGTTCAAACCCACCAGGCACTCCTCACAAGAAAGGTTGGGTAATCTACTTCCGTAGTGATACTGCCTTGGAAACCCAAGGGGGGTCGCTATGAGTCAGATCCGACTGGATGGCAGTGAGAATGGTTTGATTTTTTTAGTATTTACCAGTAAAAACCAGCTCATCGTGCAGGTAACTTCTCTCTTGCTTGAGGCGAATGATCTCTTCTCGTTGGTCATTATTTTCTGTTGTTTTTTCATTTAGCTCCTCTTTACAAAGAAAAGGAGAGAAAAGTCCTCAAATACTAGTTCCTTGGAGACTACACGCAATGGACAAACTTATCTCCTCAGCACCCCTTCCAATGAACTGAAAGTCCTGTCGGACCTACAGCTAAAATATGTCCATGCCTGACATCTCCCTGTGCCCCAGCAAGAACCCTGGTCCGAGTCCTCGCTGTCTCTCACCTGACTTGACGCCCTACTTGAGCCCGCCTCACCCACAGCCGCAGTCTGCAGAACAATCAGATCAATCTCCTACAAATAAACATCTGCTCGTGCATATACCTGCTCACGCAGACCTGCTCAAAGCCCACCAACGGCTCCCACCACGTTTAGGATGAAATGCACACTTACCAGCACACTACAAAGCCCTAAATGACCTGGGCCACCTACTGCCCTGTCCCTCCCCCGCCTCATTCTGTTTCTTAAAACACATCCCCACCTCAAAACCCACCGGGGCTTTTGCATTTACTGCTCTTTCTGCCTCTAGGGCTTTTGGCCCAGGTCTTCACCCAGCTGCTCTTCCCATCATTAAATCTCAGCTCAAACACAAACTCTTCACAGATGGCTTCCCCACCTGCCCAACTCAATGATTCTGTCTCCCTCACTCTCTATTCTATTACCCATTACTCTGTTTAATTTTTTATTAAATGTTACATTTATAAAATACCTAGAAGGCCATAAATGCAGACACAATTGACTTCTTTTGACTGGACTATCTTATTTAGGTATTCATAACCACTCGATAAATACTGACTGAGTGTCTACGATGGAACTGCAGATCCAAGAAAGGCCAGCCAACCCTTCTTGCTGTCAGGGGGCTTTGGCATGACTATGGTTTTAGCTGAGACTACAATGGAGGCAAAGTCTGTGATTTGCTACAATCAGGGCATCAGAAGCACAAGATTTCAGAATGCTGACGCTTTTCAATTAAACCAAAGAAGATAAGAATTGTGCAATTCTGGGATCTTTTGTTGTTGTTGTTGTTGTT